TGCTAAGACTTGAGCGGTTGATAATAAAACAATTATCTGCGAACGACTTGCGCGCGCGGGAGGCGATGAACGTTGAGAAACATTCGCGAACGAAGTACACAGCGCGACATCTGAACGCGCACCTGCGGTGAGAGGTGGCGAGTGTGCGGGCGCGGGAGCTGTAGACTTCAGCACAACTGGCTGAGGCGGTGGAGAATGCGCCAGCGCAGGGGAGGCATTATCGCTTCTGCGGTGGAAGTGCAACAATGTGTGATGTTTAAATTTACAAACTCGACAACTATAATTTGAAGAGCAACTAGACACTCGATGACTTAAACTGAGACAATTCACACATGCATTGTTACTCTTTACGCATTTAAATCGTTCCTGCGGCGTCATTTTATTAAAGTCTGCACACTTAAATAGGTGTTGATGCACAATATTATCGCACAGACACTTTGAGCAACTAGTCGTCGTGCTTACGTACGCCCGATACTTCGACGACGAAGTATTATTACAGCGACGATTATTACCGTTACCTCGTCGATTGTTTGGTGCGCTATTAGAATTTGTACTAGAATCGGTGCGTTGTAAAACTTTGGAGCGGGTCTTAATAAAATTTACTAAATCATCAAAGGTAGGTACTGTCAAGTTATGACTGTATTCGGAAGAGCGAATGGTATCCGGGTCCAGCTTCTTAAGCGCGATATGAAGAACAATTAAGTCAGCGAGATTATCTAACTTTAAGTTTTGTAAAGCGCGCACTGCACTTATAAATTTATCAGGAAATAAATCAAAATTATTTGCGGTATCCGATTGCAATGGTTTAAATTCGAACATCTGATTAATATACGTGGAGGCTAGCATACGCCGGTCTTCATATTTGTGAAAGAGTGCTTGCAAATTTAAAATTATAAAATTTTATAATTTTCAGCGCAAGGAGTTATACCTGAGCATACAGATAGGGCTTTGCCCGTTAGTTTACCAAGTAAATAGTATAACTTTTCAGCGTCGGTGAGCGATGGGTTCTCATGGACGGTTGATTTAAAGCTGGCATAAAATAAAGGCCATGAGCGAATGTCACCCGAAAATGTCTAAGTTCGATAGGCAGAAGTGTGAATCTGGCTTTAGATGGTGTACTAGTACTTTGTGAATTAGATTACGAATATTGTAAATAAAGCCTATTTATTCTACCGCAAAGAGACTCAAACCCAATGAGGCTGTTATAGTCACGTTAGCGATAGGGTTTATTTTTAATAAATGTGAATTATAATTATCTAAGACTTGTTTAAACTCAATACGTAAAGCATTAATAGAGAAAACGTTCCATCGTGGAAGTGTTTGTGTGGATGTCCGAGGACATATCATATATTTTTTGTACTATTTGAAATAAAGCATCTCATTTAGCTAACAATAAAACCAACTCAGCATCAGGTGTGCCCTCATTATCCGAGGAATCGCTGTTATTCGATGCTATTTGTTTTTTTAGGCGGCATTACGGCTAAAGTTATACGGCAAAAATATAATTATAAGCGGGTAGTCTGTAAGCGACGCGGTTGAATCGTTAAATATTAGTTTGTTAACGATGAACTTTAATTGTTACATGACACATGATTTACTGTTTTATTTCAGTCTGAAAATAGCAGTGACAACATCACGACAGCTACAGTTGATTAGATGGTTAAGAAATATCTTCCCTTCTCATTTTTCGATGACGAAGCTACACAAGTATATTTTCGATCAATTTACCCAAATTTGGTGTTTCCTAAAAGGTCCACACTTAGAAGGAAGGTCAAAGAACGGTTTGAAGAGCTTCAATTGAATCTTAAGAAACGAATACAACAATTTTCATCTAAAATGTCATTTACCATTGATGGATGGACGTCAATTGCTGGTAGGAGTTACTACGGGGTCACTATTCATTATATAGACAACGAATGTAAGTATCGATTTGTAGTCCTTGATTATATACCATCACGAGTTCGACATACTGAGGAAGATATTGCAACGATTTTCCACGAATTTTTATTGGTATATGACATAATTGATGGGTATCACGGTCGACAACGCAACTGCAAATACCAAATTTATGTATGAATTGGACAAACAGCTGCCACAATTTGATTCAGACAATCAACATTTCCGGTGCTTTGCTCACATTTTGAACCTTGGTGTACAAGATTTATTAAAGACCTTAGCATTACACAGTGAAACTGACAATAAGGGACAAGAACAGCAGTATGAAGATAATGAAGACGAAACTGAGGAAGATGAAGAATATGCGCCAAATATTGCTGACTCACGTGCAGCTATAACAAAATTACGCAGTATTTCCAGTAAAATAAAAAGAAGTGAGATATTGAAGAGGAAGTTTCAGTCTGCTTGTGAAGCAGCTGGCGTGCCATCAAATCTGAACCCCATACTCGACTGTCCAACGAGGTGGAATTCTACATATCAAATGATTGGATTTGGTTTAAAAGTGAGAACTGGCATTAACATATTGTGCACTTCTGTCACAGAATTGATTTTCAAATCACAGATAGTGAATGGCAAATACTCGAAAAAATACATAAGTTTCTAATAAACTTTAAACCAGAAAAATATGTTACATTACCGCTAGTCATTGTATCATTCAATCTCTTGCTCGATAAAATTGAATCCATGGTAAAACAATTAGATGAGAAACCTAATCGATCCGAAGTGGATGAAACAAACAAAATGCTTAAACATTATAAAAAGAGCAACTGGATTTATTGTACCTCTTTAGTTTTAGACCCAAGGCATAAGACTCAGACTTTTGATATGACATTATGGGGGAAGCAAATTAAAACAGAAAGCCTGCGCAAATTTATATAATTTATCTAAATGTATATAATAGTTCTGCTATATTTGCAGTACGTAAGATTAGACAGTTACCTGATGTGGAAACAGCTCGTTTGGTGTATTTTAGTTGTTTCCATATTCCTCCTCAGGTATTTTACTACTATTACTGGGGAATGGTAGCGGGCATCAATATGATATTTGTTTCGCAAAAAAAGCGGTTCGTTCCATATATAATTTGGGTAAACAAGTGTTTCTAAAGAAACGATTTAAACAGTTCGTCATATTAGCTGTTGCTTCTCAATACGCATACTCTAATATACTATTTGTTAGAAAAAATACACAAATATATAATAAATATAGTGACATACATGACCTTAATATTATAAACGAAATAAACCTGTTAAACAATTATTTAGAATTAAAAAAAACTTACAATTACATGGATAGAATGACACAAGACATTCGATTTTTCAACAAAATCCCTGATTCAGTGCTTGACTTGCCTTTAGATAAATTGAAAAAAATATGTATTAGTAATTATAATATAATATTATATTATTATTTTAATAAAATATTATATATAAAATCTACTTAACCCTTTCCCAGTCACATGAATTATATAATATGAACATTTCAATTGTTTAAATATTGTGTCTGTTTCGCGGCCAGGGAAACTGTTAATGTTAGGCAATTAATTCTGGGTTTGAGAAATTTTAAAAGTAAAATTTTTTGTTGCCTGTCTTTTGTTTCGAACCACTTCACCACACAACCAATCACATCAGGAGGATGACTGCTTATAGCATTGCAAGGAAATTTGAAAAGTGACAACAGTTTGTTATTTATTAAGTGAATTAATATTATCGGAAAGTTTTGTGTGTTAGGAAATATTATAAATTAAATCAAATCAAATCATTTATTTCGCTAAAACATGGGTACAGACGGATGGATACAGAGTCAACATTTGTTTCCACATGTTTTGCCTTTTGTGGCATGCGTAAAAATTGTTTAAAATAAATATGTTAAAAAACAAATTAAAATTAAAAAAATAAAATTAGAAATAAACAATTTTATAAATTTTCTTTTTATAGTAATATTAAGTATAGTAATATTAAGTATAGTAATATAAATAGTAGAACTACATTCAATTATTTTTGTGGAGTCAGTCAAGAAATCGACGCGTGTAATTTATAGCATCAATTACTAGACTAAAACTCTCGCAAAACCAAGAGGGGGCCTGTGCCCAGATGTGGGACGTATATAACTATTACTACATATGTAACTTTAATTATAAAAGTGTGGATTGATATCCTTAATAAACATTATTCCGTGACGTAATAATGGCGATATATCTAGTAGTAAATATCTTCGTCCATATTAAATTAAACCAGTTTCTTTCAGATAAATCAAATTTATTGCAAAACTAATAATTGTCTAACACAAAGTTCAACTTGATGTTGACACTACAGCAAAAAAATGGACAATAACAATAATAATAAGTTTGAAACAATATGAACATGTAACATTATAAGCGCACTTGAAGCAAATCAAATTTAAAATACTTTAGCCCAAACTAAATAAAATCATAGATGTATTGTTTATCATATTAGTAGAGTATAATGACCTAATGAGTATAATGACCTAAGTAGTTCTCTTTAATTTGACTTGGGTTGAATTTTTTCGTAATATTTTTCAATGGAAATGGTTCATGTCATTCAATTTTGCGACTGCCAATTTTTTTATATTAAAAAATAAAGGTGATAAACGAACGCACAGTCCTCCTGATGGTAAGTGGATATAGTGGCCCATAGACATCTAGACGTTATAAATCAATGTGCAGACGCGTTATCACCCTTGAGGACTAAGATGGAATGCCTCGTATCAAGTAAAAAAGTTCTTCCGGTTCTCTACACTCACCATACGAAATACAGCAGCACTAAGCTACTATTTTACGCTGGTATTCTGTGAGGTCGTGGTCTTTTCTAAGTCGTAGCGACCCATTCATACTACAACTGTAATATATTAATGGCTTTACCACATTTTCTAATCCACAGATAATATAATTAAAACTAAAGATCTTTATCGCTTGCAATCGTATTAATTTATGGTCGTAACCTAGCTCTGTAAAAAATCAACGTGCTTACATTATTTATCTGGTTAGCTTATTATACGTTGAAAATTTATAGTTAATGATTACTTACTATTCCCTCTGTTGCAAACTGTTCCATTAAAGCAAAAAGAGAATACGGTGTCCAAGCAACAGTAAACGCTACAATCATTAAAAAAATCATAGCTGTTGCTCGAGATTCTGTGCGGCTCACACGACCAAGTCTTTCTGAATTCTGAAATTTATACTTCTTTAAACACTATTTTCGTTTTATGTAGTAATAATCTTAAACTGACTTGACTACCTCGTTGGTCTAGTGGATGTAGTAGTGAGACTGCTGATCATGAGGTCCTGGGTTCGAATCCCGGGTCGGGCCAAAAAATCGTTTATTAAGTTTTTCCGTCAAGAAATTCTCAGTTGCTGCCCGGAGTGAGGAAGTTGGCGGTTTCTCACCCCCGTGCCTCGGAAAGCACGTAAAGCCGTTGGTCCTGCGCCTGATCTCTCTCCGATCGTGTCGGTTTACCGTCCCATCGGATTATGAGTGAGGGAATACAGAGTGCACCTGTGCTTGCGTATACAGTTTGGCACTATAATTCAGTCCTGCGCCGATGGCTAGTCTCCGTTGAGGCTAGCCGCCGTGACGGTAATTCGGTCTGGAGGACATTATTATTATAATATCTTAAAACACATAATATTATTCGAGAAAAAAAAACATAAATGCAACAAAAGAATCCCTAATTTATTTTAATTATGTTTTCTTATAATCTTATTTTCTCTTTCTTGCAAATGCCATTAGTAATAATATATAACAATGGAACTTTTAATTATAACAATGCCTTATTATACAAGGACATCTTTATCTTAAGCACAAAAAGAGTAATAATTAATATAAAAGTATGGTTTCCTGTTAGGTATCGATGATTATTTTATTTACATTCTTGTTAGGTCCACCTGGTGCGGTTAAAGAAAGTTTAATGGGTGTCCTATTTATTTGAGGGATATTAAAAATTATGGTGGTCTACTTCGAAGAAGTATAAATAAATATCATAATTACTAGAACAGCATATTATTGACAAATTACTGTCAAGTATTTATTGCAAATCAATTGTTATAAAGTATTGACTATATCTGAACCTTTTATTACGCGTGGGAAGAATTTTAGATTCAGCTGAGAAATTCATCAAAATAAGAAATATTAGAACATAAAAACAATAATTTTTAACAATTGGTACTAAACTTATAGACAACATATTTATAACAATTCAAAACCATACACACCGATAAGTTTACCATAAATACCTTTTTTAACGTCCGAATGATATTTATGTAGCTGAATGTAATCACAGCCAGAGGTACGATCTGTCCCATGGCAAATAGGAATAATATATATGTTAAAGTATTCGTAGATTGTTCATGCCAATTCACGGAGCAACTGTCAAAGTAAAGAAAACATTCACATTTTAAATTAATGCATGTAAATATTTTAACAACTTAGATTTCACGAACAAATAAATTCAAAGGAGAATGAAAAGCAATTGGTGGGGTCATTGAGTTATACAACACTAGAGGAGCAAACCACATTACCGCGCGTCGAAAAAAGTGTAACCACTATCAAAACGCGACGACGTAGCTTTGAAACTAATAAAAATTTTCAATAAACATATATCTATCTCACTTACACAAGTTGCGAAAACAATATCGTCGCTAAGATTAGATAAAGATAGACACACAAACATGCAATGGCGGGTTGGTGTGGCTTACTATATGAAATTTTACCTAAAATACGCAATAAAAATGAGTTTTTTAAGCTGCAGTTAATTGTTTTTGTATTAAAAAGTATATTTTATTTTAAAATATTTATTGCGTCCCCTTAGAAAAAAAGGATACAAAGCTTATCAGATGAATAGAAGTAAACATAATGATGAAATAAAACATATTTTTATAAGTATTTTATTGTACTAATAAATCAAACCAATATAAAATAGGTAATAAAATACAATTAATATGAAATTTATACGAAATTATAATTAATATAAAATTATTAATATAAAATAAGTAGGTAATAAAATATATTTTATAGATAATTCATGAATAAACTAAAATAAGAATAGTTAATTATTTTGTATGAAAGTTAAAACGTAGTTTTTATTATAATTTCCAAAATATTGTAAGCTCTGACAGCTCGCGACATGTTATACTCCCGTTCGCTCGGGACCTTAATGGCGGGAAAATTTGTATGTTAGCAAATTTTTTGCTAACTTGCAAATTTTGTTATATTTTCACTGAGACAATATTTATGGATAAAACTTACAGGAATTCTTGTTGAATGTATAAACTATCGAATAAAATTATTTTTGGTTGCTAGAAATTGTAATAAAATTCATAAATTACCCTGTAAAGCATAGTAGTAGTACATACTTCACTTTTAGTGCCAAAATTACTACTAATTTGAATTCTACACTTTTGTTTTTGGAGAAATTTATATGAAAATGTTTGGAAATATGTATATTTTTATGTTCTATGTGTTTCTGTTCGTTACTCATACCAAAATATTAAAAAAATAAAAATAAATAAATAATAATATTTATCTGTATGACTTTTCGAACAATATTTCAAAAATATTTTTGTGTGAATTTGAAATAAATACAACGTCAAGTTATTTGAAATATGTTAGAAAACTATTTTTTACTTACATTTTACTAAAAATAAATGAGAATTGGAAAAATAACATATTTTCGACCCAACCGCCAAAATGGGCCTTCCGGATTTCGAAGTACTTTTGGCACTTACTTTTCACTTTTTATACCACAAATTATATATCTACGTGTTTACTATATTACAAGGAATATAAAAAAGTATAATACTTTCGTTTTTAGTCCAGACACAAAACTAAAATTCTATAAAAAAGACGGAGCACCTTCATTCTTCAGGATGAGACTAAATCTTGTCTAATATAATATATATATATATATATATATATATATATATATATATATATATATATATACTCTCTATAAACATATTATAAAAGTCGCTTCCCGCCGTCTATATGCTTAAATCTTTTAAACTACGCAACTGATTCTGATACAGTTTTCATCAATATACAGAATGATTCAAGAGCAAGGTTTATATGTATAATTATGTATATAATTCTTCTGTCCGTGTGTATGTGACTGAACTCCACGGCTAGATCCATTTTGGTGAAACTTTGTATGTGTGATTAAGTTGATTTCAGAATGGTTTAGATTCACTATTGAGCCCGATAGGTGGTGTTGAGATCCATAAATCATCCGTGCGGAGCCGGGGCGGATTGCTAGTAAATGATATAAAACAAATTCTAAAGCGCACAAATAATATGGATCTTCCCAAATCTGTATGACCTTCTTAACTTTCCCTACTAACTTTTAATAACTATTCATCGACCTGTCAAAGACACGATTTGACTTAACCATGAGACTTGAGAGGTTAATTGATCGTACTGATTACTAAATTGATTGAGAAATAGGGTGACGACCCCTACGAAAAGACCCGAGTTGGGTCAGCAGATAAACGTTAGCCTTAAATTCAATATCAATCAGAATTAAGAAATTTATAACTGCAATTTTAAGCGCTGATTTACAATGTTCATCAATGAAAGACAACCTGAAGAGAAAAACAATATGATTATGATATTAATAAGCGTAAATTTTTGAAAATTATGAAGTATCTTTATATCTATATAATACATTACTTAATTACACACATTAAATTTAGTCGTAAAATAAAATCACTGAAAATTTCAAAACTGAATTGCTTTACAATATATTTCTGTAAAAACAAAAATATCTATATTAAAAATGTATTGATTTACCTTATATTAGCAGCTTCATTGACATAATTTCCCCAGCCCATTAGAGGGGGTGCAGTAAGCGCCAAGGAGTAGACCCAAATGAATATGATTAAAATAGCAGCTCCCTTTGAAGTGAGATGCCTCGATCTCAGAGGTCTTGTTACCATTAAATATCTTTCAAATGATATCACTGTTAAAGTTGTTATTGATGTTATACCTGCAACAGACTTTAGTAATAAAACTTCAAGGAAGCGGTACTTATGTGTAGAGAATTTTAAGCAAACAACGTACGTCTGTCTTTAAAGATGAAACGGCGGGTACGAGCGGGAGCGTCCACGAGTGTATGAATTGTTTTTTTTTCATAATATAAAAATAAAACTGCTATAACTACATTAATTTCTCTACGTTCCTAACTAATACTTAGTACGTGGTAGAGCCACGCTGCAGCCATATTATAGTTGTAGCACGAATGGTTCGGGTCAACCGAGGCAGGACCACGTTCTTACAGAATACCAACGTAAAATAGCAACATAATGCTGCTGTGTTTCGTATGGTGAATGTAGAGAACTGGAAACCCTTTTTACTGGAATTGACGTATTTCATCTTAGTCTTCAGGGGTGACAACGCATTTGCATCATCATCATCATCATCATCATCATCATTACAGCCCTTCACAAGTCCACTGCCGAGCATTGAGGATAAATGTGGATGTCTATCTGCCACAGCATCCACTTACCAATCAGATAGACTGTGCGCCCGTTTATCACGCAATGCTATAAAAAATCCATCTTCCTTTATATCCTCTACAGTTGAATCAGATGAATATTGAGACATTTGAGTAAAATATGAATATTTAGCGGAATATTCGCATTCAATATTAAACGCAAGCTCTGCAATCCGTTTTGAAGCATATGTAAGGAAGCACAAGATTGTTCTTTATTTAATTAAATTGAAGTGACACACGAATTTACAGTCCACCTAACGCTATGTGGCTACTTCCAGTCCATTAGAACCACGAGCCTCAAACAAAGAAGTCATTATCACCTCTGCAGTCTAAGGCGGAATCCCTCACAGCCTGTAATTATTTAAATAAAACTATTTTTATGGATTATACAGCGTATATTAACTTTTTTATGTTTCCGACGTTTCGAGCATTTACAGCACCCATGGTCACAGGTGGGACTGAGGTGTTCGACGTCCTGATATCATAGTTAACCGCGGTTACCCAAAAATTAAAATTATTAATTTTTGTTCCGATTCACAGAATATGAACTTATAGTATGATGTGCTAATAGTCTGCTTGGGATCCTATAATTAATAAAATTAAATCTCAACCCAAGCATACAACTGCAAGACTTCAAGATACTACAAATTCATATTGTGTGGATTGGAACAAAAATTAATAGTTTTAATCAGTGGCTAATCGCGGTTAATTATGACATCGAGACGTCGAACACCTCAGTCTCAATAGGTAGCTAGACGGACTCTTAGCCAGAAAAAGCGTCTTAACATCTAGTAATGTTCTTTTAATATTTAAAGAAATTTTATAATTATATACTAAATGAAAAAAACAAATTAAACTTACCCAAAAGTGCCATGAAAAATCCATATAGCACACACATAGTACGTCCAAAAACCCACCGATGGAACAGGGCGGAGACAAGTGTAAATGGATTTCCCAAAACAGAGACGGAAAAATCGGAACACACTAAATTAAGGAGTATTATGTTCAGCGGTGTCCATAGCTGCAACAAAAATAATAGTTTTAAAATTTAGTAGGTGATACTTGTTTCTATTGTATTAGGTGTTTTAATTTATAATCTACATGTCACATTTATAGTATGAGGGTGACAAACGAGCACACAGTCCACCTGATGGTAAGTGGATGCTGTGGTCCATAGACATAGACATTTTAACGCCGCTTAAGAATCAAAATGGAGATGCGTTGTCACCCTTGAGGACTATGATGGAATGCCTCGTTTCCAGTAAAACGGGTCTCCGGTTCTCTACACTCACTATTCGAAACACAGGAGCATTAAGCTACTATTTTACGCTGGTATTCTATGAGAGCGTGGTCCTTCCTCGGTCGATCCGATCCCTTCATGCTACAACCATAATACCTGCAGTGTGGCTCTGTCACGTTGAAATGAAATTATCTAAATAATTAAATTAAATTAAGAAATATTATGTTCAACGATGTCCTTAACTGCAACGCAATTGTTTTATTTTTTATTTTATGTGAAACTTCTCGAAACTTGCCAGTATCAATGCATTTGAATTTATAATCTACTAGCTGAACCTGGCAGGCGTTCTCCTACCGGTTAATTTCATAGGTTATGTTGAGCAACGTTTTTTACATAAGTGCATGCAATCATCAATTTATTAATTGCCGCGTTTGATTGAAAAAAGCAAATAAAATGAAAATTTTAAAATTTTGTTTCAAAAAAATGTCAATTTTATTTATTGTAAATATATTCCTTCTCCATTGATTATACATATCAATTTTCGATTCGATCAAATAAAATTTAAGTTAAATGATTTCATATATACATTATATTCTTGAATTATTTGGCATGAAACATACATTTTTATTACGGCTAGATGTTTGAAAACTTTGCACAGGTTTTTGTACCCCAAATCCTCGATACGTGACTGGTCTCCATCCCTTTTTATAAACATATCACGCATTCACGCATTTAAACAAAATGTTTTGCTCTACGCCTTTTCTGTATGTACACATTATGAACGCATAATGTGTACAGCAAAGGCGTGGAATAATTTTCCAACATTTATCTTTCCATCCAATTATAATGTGCATGTTTTTAAGGCAAGTGTGAAAAGGTTTTTGTTAATCTAAGCCAGTGCGCGCTACCATCTTTATGCATTACCACTTACAATCAGGCACTGGTTTTAAAATAAAATCTCGATCATTTGATCTGACAGACAGCTGGTACTAAAAGGAGAACTTGTAATTAATTTTATACATACATAATAATTAAGTATTAATATTAAAAACCATAGAATACTATTAATACTTACACAATAGAACAGGAAAATTAGCAATGGCCGTGTAGCCACTAACATGTCAATTCGCACCTTTAAAAGTCAAAATATCTCCTAACGTCACAGTCGTTGCCACATTTTTGTGTCAATTGTTGCTGCGTGCAACTTATTTCAAAAATGCCGAACTATGCGACAATCACGTGTAGAAAAAACAGCCGTTTGTAAAATTTGAATAAATGTTATATATCCTTACCACCTGTAAGTCGAAATACTGATAGTACAGTACTAGGGATGTAACAACAACTTACTGGTACCGTTAAACCAGGAGATACCATTTTTAATATTGCTTTTAAAATTGCACTTGGTAATACAATGTCAATCGATGATATCGAATTCGGTGAAAATTTAATTACATACGAATAAATTGTAATAACATTTATTGTTGTTTTTATTAAATTGTAATTGTGTTTACTTCCCACATAGGATATCATTGGAAATTTTCAATAAAGTTTTTAGATTGAATCTACTGATTACGTATCATTACTACATACTATATTATGTTCACTTCATCACTTTGTTTCACACCATTTTGTGTTAAAAGTTTAAAAAAATATTTTATAATATGTAGTTTTATACCTCATTTAGAAGCCACGGGTAATCTTAACTGGATGCCTTACAAAGTAGTTATATTAGTTCAAATTCTTTAGACTGTAAAGGACAATGCAGTTCTACATAAAATATTGTGTAAATAACATCTACATCGGTAAGTGTAATTCTGTGAAAAGGATTAATTCAACGTCTGAGCATGCGATTGTTTGCGAAAATGATGCTGCTAATGCCTATTCTAAAAATTTATCAATATTCGATGTCGAGTTTCTTATTGAAAATCTGAATTGCTAAAAATACCAAACGGCAATTATTCAACAAATATATGTCGGATTTTGACGTTATTTAAAAATATTAAAATGAGCAGAACCATGAACTCCGTTGGATGGTTGGATGGTTCGCGGTTCTGATTTTAAGTTTATCCATGACACATCACTAAAACACCACAATAAAATAGCAATTCACTTATTATCTCCGCAGTAATAACTGATTAACAGCAATAATAGCACTGTTTTATTTAATATTTAAATCACTCACAGTACTTGCTTTTTGCTTTTGCACCTCAAGCGCAGACGAGAGAATTAACGTTCCAATGATTTTTCGGTAAAGGTGCACAAAGCCACCACTCTCGCGCGGTAGCAAAAAGGCGCGGGCCAATGGCGTTGCGCAAGCCATTAGATTTTAATCAGTTTAACTACTTTTAATCTAAATAAAAGTATAAAGAGTTTATTGTATGAGTTCATAGTAAACCTGTAGTTACTAATAATTAAAACAGAATTTCTAACGATTAGAAAACAATGATTGCTAAATATTAAACAATTATTAATCAGTTGAAACTCGAATGCAATAATAACAGGATAGTCAAAACAACGATCCTTAAAATATTTATAATTGAACTTTTTTAAAAACAATGCAATTACTATTTCACTAACAGTTATTTTACATGGAATAATTAAATTACAAATATATTAGGTAATATTGTGTTAAATCGTTTACTTGTTACGCCATAGACGAATCTTTAATATGTAACGGTTTCTGTAAGATAAACATTTTAATAAATTTTATTATTCTCTAAATACTACTTTATTTATTAAAAGAATTATTCACCGCGTTATTAATACACCAATTATACCTAATTTTACTTACTTTTGTACTCATTGCAAAGTATTGCAATTTGTGGATGTTAAACAACGTAAGTAAACAAGTCAACGCATTTAAACGCAACTAATAATAAAGAAATGATAATTTAAATAATTATATTAATAAGTAGTTTTCGTCCACGTCGAATTCGGTCATAGGTACCGCGTTCTCGTAGTATATTTTGAGAATAAAAGTTAGCTTAGCCTTTTTAATATTTCTAGCTATCTAAATAGCAAATTTCGTCAAAATCGGTTGAGTGGCTTAACATTTCCTTTTATAGTTTTATTGACCAAAGTGTATACTTAGTCCAGGCTGTCAAGGTGTAAGGTGTAGCGATGGGTAGTAGCGGCTTTTTTGAGTAACGAAACGAAACTATCTATCGAATATCAATAGCGGCTTTTGAAACACTCTATTTTAATAGCGGCTTCAATAGAGTGTTTCACGACGTGTTCAATTGAAAAACGTTGCGACCGTTGTTACCGTTTCGTATAGAATTAGCCATGGTGCTAATGGTTAAATTTATTTATTTGTTAAATCAGTTCGCATGGTTTGATAAAAAATATCACTTGAAAAGTACACTGGCATTACTTCGAGACATTTTTGATAACTATCACATAAAGTTTTAGTATTATTTTTACACTTAGTTACACTAATTACCGTACAATTATTATTATTATTAAACTAATATATAAAAATTGTATTTAGTTCTTATTTTACTAAAAATATTATTATTATTAACAAATGCGCCTAAAAAGTAAAAACAAACCGTGTCATTAAACTTAAACACAAGACTAATTTAAACCGGGCCAAGGCCACTTAAATTATGGTATTTGAACATTGAAAATTTTTTGTTAAAAACATATACACTCACTTTCTTATTTCTAATATCACATCTATATGAAGGGAATAGAGTCATAGGTCAAATGCAAAAGCACCCGCGCTCACTCGACATTCGACGACCGGTGGTACTTCTACCACAGCGTAAAGAGTCGGTTTCTTTACTCATGTGTTTCTACTTCAACAGCCGAAGCCGTCGCCGATGCGTCGCGAAAATAGCCGAATAAACGTTTTGTTACTGATCGCTCGTTCGTAATTCGTGAAACGTGAATCGTGTTACTGAGTAAAACGTCTACTGTAATAGATAGTTTCGTTGCACTACAATAACCCGCTACCCGCTATTGTGTGAATAGATAGTTTCAGTAACTAGTTACGTTTTGTAACGACCACTCCTAGTAAGGTATTAAAAACTTTTGATTTCATGCATGAACATGTGCTTTTTATATTTGATGATGCCGTTTAATTAAACGGGCTTTTTGAAGTACATGAGCTGTGAGTTCATAAAGTTATTACTATTTTCAGAATTATATTATTCATAAAGTTCAGTCTGCAACCATGTTAGGACGAAAAATTACTCGTTCATTTGATCAGTCCTGAATAATAATTATAAAACACATTGTTATTTGTGTTAAAACGACCAGCATAACTAATAGCAACTACAATGGCTACAAAAATCTGCTTCGTGTAGCTATTGTAACTGTCCCGATTTTAAAACCAAATTCCCGAATTTTATCTGGCTGCACTAACGAAAATGAATGAAGGCGCAACACAACCCAATGAATGATACTTTGTTAAATGATATTATTTATTTAATTATTAATATCATACGTTTACTTAATAGTAAGCAATTAAAAATAAAAAAAATTATTACTATAAAAGTTATTTGATATTTTCACTCAAGGTTTTCAGTAACAATAATCCCAAATCAGCTCGAAAACCTCTTCACTGTTAATGTAAAGGCTGAAATTAAATGTATCACATTATATATATATATATATATATATATATATATATATATATATATATATATATAATAGTCGAATATTGTACTACTAAAACGACAAAGAGTCTCAAGTTATACAGTTGCTCTACATTTCTGCATCCTTTTTTATTTTGTACCATTATGTTTTTACCCTTTCTATTCTACCTTTATGCCCAACATGGATTTTATTAAAATTATTGCAATATAAGCTTTTGTAAATTGTCTGGTTGACGTATAATATCATAGGCATATATCTTAAACATATGAAGTACTAGCCTACTAGAAAAATATCCCCAGCAAGTACGATAATAATAACATCCCATTAAAATTCCTAAGTGTAATATATATATATATATATATATATATATATATATATATATATATATATATATATATATATATATATATATATATATATATATATATATAACGTTGTGTATTACATTGCCATACTGGAGATCTTCTCTTTTCCTGACACGGCTAAACAGTGTGTGTGAGTGCACTTCGTATCATATAACGTGTTAATAATATTGGTAGGACGTGCGTTTTTTAAAACATGTTTTATTGCACATTCTATAGACTTGCATTGAATCTTAAGTGGATTGAAAGTCTTTTAGTAAACATTATAGTAACCAATCTTATGAGAATTGGGTTCAATATTTTTTTTTTCAAGAATTGTGGATTTCTTCTAACTGACTTATGAGCGCCGACAATTTCTAAAAGCTATTGCGCACTTTTACCATAACTTTAAATGGATTTGCCACCATTCATTTTTGCATAGAATTTATAAAGGTGATCGCGTAATACTGTTGAATAATTCACACCGTCAAACACTTAGGAATTTTAATGGGATGTTATTATTATCGTACTTGCTGGGGATATTTTTCTATATATATATATATATATATATATAAGCAGTAGTTCGCGAACTCGGTTATGGTTAATCCCATTGCAAAAACGATATAACGGAAAATAATTCTAAATTTAAACCCAAATCTGAACTGAAAGGGGGAACAGTTACACAAATACACGAGTGTAATTTATACCATAATTAGTAGTTATTTGGGTCTAAATTACAATTAGTAGTTTAGACCCTAAACAAACGATCCCAACCGGGATATCGTAGAAATAGATAGACATTCCTGAAAACGTTTTTGTCCATTTATTGAAAACGGGCCAAATTAGGAGTACCCTTAACCGACGAGCATGTATGCGGAGGTGTATGGATGTGAAGGAGGCGAGAGAGGTGTGTAGATGTGCCAAATGGAAGTGGAGTGTTTTGTTTTTGTCCATTAATAATCATATTTACTATCTAAAATTAATCGTAATAGGCGACAGAGGGAAAACGAAACAGGAGATCGGCAGCATCATCTTTTTTTTCTCTTTATTTGGATCACCAACAGATGATACACAATACTAATAAAAATATAATTCAACACGGCGACTATATGCTACGTGTTCATCTTCTTACAGGTAACCACAACTTACATAAAAAGTGATAACAACTCAAAATAATAAAAAACTGCGTTTGCCAACCCGCTTGTCAAGCGTGACAACTATGGTAAAATCACCATCTATAGACAATAATGGATGGATATATGGATGGACGCTTACTTTATAATAAACTTAGAATTACTGATATTTAAAGGCCTCCTCCACAGAGTGACACATGGAAGAGATTGGCTCGTCTGGTAAGTGGTTTAGCTACCACAGTTTTATTATTATTTAAGCTCTATGTATGAAGCTGTTGTTACAAGTTTTGATATATCAAGGCTTTTCGGCTCTCTGGTTCCAAATTTCGTTACGGTTCTTCGTTAAAGTTCTAAATAAATAACACTTTTCGGTACGGTTACGGTTCTGGTTCCGTAATAGTGGCGTTAAGTTATACATTTCCAAAATTCCACTCCAATTCCAATTCCAAAATAAAAATTAAAAAAGAAGTATTTTCGTACATAAGCCTGGCGCAATTCGGGAGAGAGAGAGAGAGAGTAACACGGCAGCGAAGACTCCGATACGCCCTACTTAACAGTTATTGTTAACGTGTTGTAAAGTAAAATATAATAAACCGTGAAACCGCGAAACACTTATCGAATTCGCTTAGCCGAACTGTGTTGTACGTACTCCGTTTATCATAAATACTATTAAATGATTACTGTATTTTTAGTTTTCTAGAACATAAATCTTATCATATTATATAGCCATAATACTCGCAGTATATAGTGCCAAAAACGCTGAGTGTGTTTCCTGGCTGAATAGCTATACTTTTTACCTTTGGCGAGCGATGAAAGCCCTCTTGTCACCGGCAGTCCAGTCGCACAACTTTATAGTTACTCGTACTCTCGTAGACTGCGCTACTGAATCCATCCGAGGACTCAGTAGCCATCAGAGGACGCATCTGAATTTTGATTCTAAATCGACGATAAATGTTTATGGACCTCAGCATTCACTTATCGTCAGATGGACTGTGTGCTGGTTTGTCACCCTTATTCTATAAAAAATATTACACATATATCTTACCTGTCTATCTTTAAACATTAGTACTATGACGAGAAGATTTAGGAAAAATCCAAAAAATCCAATGATAAATAATACAAAAGCCGATGTCACGTAGCCCCATCGCGGCATTAACATAGGGAATTCTTCATCGGATACCCTCACCACTGTATCATTAAGCTGTTCCGGATACGACGTCATAATCATATTATTCACTCTGCTCAAACGACGCAATTTCTACACTGGCCATTATCTCTGGCGCCCATTACATCTGGAAAGAAATAATATTTTAGGCGTACATTACACGCTCATGCGGGCGTTAATCAATTCCATCAATCATGATTGATAAAAAAAACGAATAGTGACTGACAGGCGTACATTACGCGCTCATGCAGGCGTCAATCACTGCATTACACGGTAGGTTATTCGTCAATCACAACCGCGATTGTTGTAAAACTGACAGCCTGCATGAGCGTGTAATGTACGCCTTAGCTTCGTATTTAGAGTTCCGTAGTTAAGCAACAAGGAACCCTTAGGCGTACATTACACGCTCGTGCATGCATCAGTCAATTCCATCAATCATGTTTGATATAAAACAGATGGTGACTGATAGGCGTACATTAGGCGCTCATGCAGACGTGAATCACTGCATTACACGGTAGGTTATTCGTCACAACCATGATTGTTGTAAAACTGACAGCCTGCATGACCTAATGTACGCCTTATACTTTCGTCATATCCATCCGTCCGGCTGTCCGCGGTTTTACTCAGAAACCATAGGTGCCACAAACCTGTAATTTGGTATAGGCTTACGTGTACAAAACTTTGAAATGAAATCTTAAAAAAACATTTTTATTTTGGATACCTCCCATACAGGTAAAGGGGGGATTAATTTTTTTACCTGTCTATTCTATCGAATAGGATGTCGTTGGACAGGTCTTTAAAAAACATTGGTGATTTCGAACAACATTTTTAGATTCAGGGGTCCGTTTGCGAAATATTTAGCTTTAAAGTGGTATTTTTCATTAGAGTCATGTATCCTCTCTCCTCTCTACCAAGTAAATCGGTATTTTTGTAAATGTCAAAAGTATACACAATAGTATTATATATAATTTAATTAAAAGGAAAACTATCGGAGCTAAGTAGTATTTACAAGTTAAAGAATAATAGTCGACCAACATAAAAAGGCACTTGGATTAGTAAAAACTTCGTTACAATTCTAAAAAAAAATGACTTAAAACTAGTTGCATTATAACTTTGCAATTTTATAGTAAACTGTACAAAATAAAAAATTTATGAAGAAAACGGCTAATATGCATTACGACTATAGCTTTAGTTTTTCATTTGCGGGATAGGCAGGGAGGACCATTCTTACAACTACTTTCGTTTATTTTTTAGTTGGTAGTTATTGTAGGCCTCCTTCAAAGTATTAGTACAATCGTATAGCCTCATACAGTTACATTCATCATACTCTTGGTTTACGCGGGTGACCGTCAGGATAATTAAGGGCAGTGATGGTTCAAATTATGGATCATTATGGTCATAATATATATGTTAGGTTGCATCGCCGGGAATATATAGTCAGATATTCGACTTTGACCATTTTTATACGGACTTGGCATGTGAATGATTAATTGATGTAAATTGTATTATTTTCAACATCGAAAACTATTATTAATGTTTTTGAATACCCCTCCCTATAAGTCTCATTGGAAAATTCCTTCAGTTACCATCGTCCTATTTAGGCCCGTATTCAGTCGTTATAGCGGTTAACCGCGAACTCAACATGCTCATTATCAAGAACGCCCCTTCTAAGTTTAGGTATTTTGACGGGCAACTACGAAACTCTACATTGTACGTGATCCGACACACACTTGGCCAGTATTTAGAAAAAAAAACTGAAGTGCCAAACAAATTTGCAGTTTACCTGGTGGTATGTGGCTACTGAAAGTGCCCCATGGACTCAACACATTTTTTTATAGGATAGAATGACAAACGAGCACACAGTCCACCTGATGGTTTGTGGTTGCAGTGGCCCATAGACATCTACTGTTATCCTCGATTACGAATCAAAATGCAGATGCGTTGTCATCCGTAAGGACTTAGATGGAATGCCTCGTTTACAGTAAAAAGGGTCTCCCGTTCTCTACACTCACCATACGAAACACAGCGGCATTAAGCTACTATTTGACGCTGGTATTCTGTGAGATGCATTAAACTTCAAAAAAAAGGCTACATATGCGTTTTCTCTTCTAAAGACTAATAATGTAAAATAATAATAATAATCATTTTTATTTCAGATATCCAAGTAATCCATATAATATGTTAGTAAATATGAAACTTATAATTCATGTTAGTACCCAAATCTAATTCTTAAATACAAGTGCCGTATCAAACTAAACAGAGGCGGTAATATTGCTTAAAAATAAATGAGTCATATCTGTCAGCAATTATGATCATGACAGAGTTGGAGCTAGCTCGCACCCTGTCGGCAACGAGGCTGTTTTCTTTCTTATAATGGCGTAGTAGTCGTGCCTGATGCACTGCAAAATCGAGGTAGCCCCAACAAGACCCTGAAGAACAACTAAGAAGGAATGCCTCAGAGCCTGTAATTATGCTGACTGCTTCTACACCTTCGACGGAACACATCAGTTCAAGCACTGCAATATGGCGGCAGAAATAGGGGAAAATATGGTACCAGCCCAGACGGACTTCCAGGCAGAAAAACAGTCCAACTACCTAGTAAATGTTGCTTAAGCATATATGTCATTCTAAATGGATTTTCAGTATTATTACATATTATTTTGACGTATAGAAGAACTATTAAGCAATAGAACAGGAAAGACCACGCTCTCACAGAATACCAGCGTAAAATAGCAGCTTAATACTGCTATGTTTCGTATGGTGAGTGTAGAGATCCGGAGAACCTTTTTTACTGGAAACGAGACATTCCATCTTAGTCCTCAGGGGTGACAACGCATCTGCGTTTTGATTCTTAATCGAGAATAAATGTGAATGTCTATGGACCACAGCATCCACATACCATCAGGTGGAATGTGTGCTCGTTTGTCGCTCTTATTCTATAAAAAATATATCTAATGTAACTGACATAGCCCAACGTATCAGTAGGCTGAAGTGGCAATGGCTACCGTACATCTCGAGTAACCAACAACTAATGGCGATTAACGATAAAGATTAACTTTGTCTAGGACTAATGACGTGTAGTTGTGAAATAATCGGCTTGGTCAAAGAAGGAGCACGCTCTTAAAGAATATGAAATCCGCTAAAACGCATCAGAAATGAGAGATGGTGAACTGAACGTGACTGAAGGGAACGTGTGTAGTAGTCACTCAATAACAGTAAAATTTTATATTGTAATTACTTTACAAGACAGCGAACTTAACTAAAGTAAATTTTAAGATCCAAATGAGAGCAATCCCAGAAAAAACGTCTGATAGTTTGCGGTATAGCTATCTCATTTGTCTAAGATGCTAAATATACAGGCCGGCGACGGGAGTTCGTCATAATTCATATTATGAGATGTTTGATATTGCGTTCGTCAGACTGTCTGACAGCGTTTGATCTTTGAGTGGCGACCTCGACCAGTCGTAATGGCGACACTACACTGAATAAATACGATACCTGATAAAATTTGCCGACAGTAGATAGATGCCATTTGCTTAGGATCGTGATTTGTTTGTCTATGGCCTACATATTTAACAAATATACATATGTATATTGCGTTAGTTTCACTTTTGAATGTGAATTGTTAATTACAAGCCTATGTATTGGGCACGAACCTCCTTTCTGAGAGGGATATAAGGAAGAAAAATCTGCACGAATCAACTTTATTGTGATTTTGGCGGATTTTATATTATGCCTTTTAATTAGTTATAAATTTTTTGATCTTTTCTTTAGTTTGCTCGCAATTTTTTCGTAAAAATAGTACTCGTACAACAGTATTGAAGATTTTCGTTTTAGCAATATTAGAACAGAATACTCATATGTCATAGCAGTAAGCATAGTTATCTGCTGAGTCAGCACACTGGCTTCACATCCTGCAATTCATATGAATCTGAATGATTGAAAAACATGACTAGATAGCTGCTTCTATATATTTACGGGAATAACTACAACAACAATAAGGGGTTGGAATTATGGTGAATATGATGACCTAAAACATTTTTTACAACATATTTCATGGCATGTTCCTTTTTTATTAACATTATTAGGAGTTTAAAATATTAAATTCAATAAATAAATAATATTCCTGTAAACCACTCAAATCAAGTTGAAAATACTTGTGTTAAATGTAGTTCACGACAGTACGCGGATGTCAGATCGAAGTCACGATACTCAAGTTCTCGATGCAATCGTTTAATTATTAGACCATTGTCAACTACCTTACGTGGTAGAGCCACGCTGCTAAAGCTATATTATTGGTGTAGCACGAATAAGTTAGCCCGATAGGGAAAGACCACGTTCTCACAGAATATCAGCGTAAAATAACAGCTTAACGCTGCTGTGTTTCGCATGCTGAGTGCAGAGAACCGAGGACTCTTTTCACCAGAAACGAGGAATCATTTAGTCCCCAGGGGTGACAATGCATCTGCATTTTGATTCTTAATCGAAGATAGCTGTAGATGTCTAGGGACCATTTAGTATCCACTTGTCATCAGGTGGGCTGTGTGCTCGAGGAGGTCAATAATACATATTCACTTTATAGAAGAAAGAAAATATTAAAAATGAAATATTACAAGTTTTATAAAAGATACATTAATATGAAGACAACTCAATTTCATAAAAGATTAAATTACCTAATTAAATGTTAAAATGAATAAAGCTTTGAGAGCGATTTAAGCTTATTGCAACATAAATTCAAATTATTATAATGTTATTGTAAAATGGCAATTATAACACAAAGATGCTAAATTGAATTCTAATTATATAAGTTACCATAAAAATTTCATTTAAAATCAAATTTACTTTTGACATAAGAAAATTAACTTTTACGTTCCTTTTTTAATCTTGTTTTTTGACCATTACTTATATGTTTACAGCCTACGAAAAGTCCACTGTCGAACATAGGCCTTACTCAAGCATTGTATGTAGGGGGAATATTTTCAGTAGTTACAATTTTTTTTATTTTTAGTTGTCATCATGAAGATGCTGCTTCCCATCTCCTGGTTAATTTCCCTCTGTCGCCT